TGGGTATAAAGTAGCCCCGGGGATGTCTGCTCCGTCAAGCATCTTGAGCCAATTTGGATTCCAGACAGCCTCTCAGACATTGCAGAGACAGGTTCCTGGTTTGCTAGACCAGGCATTTCTAGATGAAAGGCCTTTTGAAATGTGAAGTCCTGAAATAACCCAAGGAGACAGGGCCATTGAATTCCACAAGATTTGTGTGGATTCTTTGAACATTTGCCTGTTGAGGTTTGGAGGGTAATAATTCTTTGGTTCATACTTCAAGCAGCAAACTAGACTTTATATCTGACCCATCTCTAGGAAACTGGTTTGTGCATAGGAACATAGTCTGCACATAGAAAATAGGGCTGGCTCTACCAATGATCTGAGTGGCAGCTCCCCAAGTATTCTCATGAGCTCTCCTGCTGTCCCATTGTGCAAAGGGATTCATGTCCTGTAACTTGTCCTGCCTGCCAAACTACTTCTGACTTTACTGTGGCTATCCCATCATCAAACCACTTTTGTAACTGGATTGTGGAGTCACCATCTTGTCCTTTGCCTCAGAGGCAGGGAAATGCTTTGGTTTGACTCTAATCAAAAACTTAGCTGTCAGTGCCATGGGCTGCTTGGCTTCTTATTGTTTTCAGCGATGGGCTGCACAACACATTGATAATTTTCACCCCCTATTTTCTGCATTTCTAATTGTACACTTTTGTTAAAAAGGTAAGGTATTCCCCATTGACAAGGTTGTCAATTTGTGTCTGACTGTAGGGGGTGGTGCTCATCTCCATTACTAAGCCAAAGAGCCAGCGTTGTCAGAGACTACTCCATGATCATGTGGCCAGCATGATTGCATAGAACACTATTTACCTTCCCACCAAAGTGGTACTTATTTATCTACTTGCATTTGCATGCTTTTGAACTGTTAGGTTGGCAGAAGCTGGGACTAGTGACAGGAGCTCACCCCATCATGCAGCACCTGGGCCTCGAACTGCCAATTTGCCGATCTTGCAATCAACAGAGTCAGTGTCTTAACCACTTGAGCCACTGCATCCCACTTTTGTTACACTATTAGAATTGTACACTTTTGCTATACTACATTAGAAGTCATTGCACAGGCACACCCATCTCTTCATGGAGCCCTAATGCACACCACTTATACCCGAACTCCATATTAGAGACCACTAGGACACCTTGCTGTGGGTATAAATACAAGGAGCATTTTCAAAAGGCAAGATTAGTGAGGCTATTGTATTCCACTTCATGAAGCAAAGGTTAGGGTCCTCACTTATAAATAGAAAGAGTGGGAGGAAAAGAGTATCATGTTTAATATGTGAAGCCCTATCCTGTCAATAGATCAGCTTGTTGAAATATATTGAAAAAGAAGAAGATATTTCATTTTTTTAACATGAACCAAGAAGTACCTCAGCTGGGGTGGCCAGTCTGCCCAGGCAGCCAGGTTTAACCCTAGAAGGCCATGCTACCAGATGACCCTGTGTACCAGTGAT